AAATTGGAGAAATTCTTCGAAAACGCTGCAGATAGTTTAGCTATGGATACTGGATTGGCTGACTATGTCAAAACCTTATAATCTAATATCTACAATTTACTCTTATCAATTCCTTTACATTCTATTATTAAAAACATTGAATCTTAATTGATTTTTGGTTTATATATTTTTTGAAAATGTAGTTAGAATTTTTAATTTTATATTAATTTTATTGGATAGTATCAAGTATATGTAATTTAATGCAAGTAAAAGCGTATTCAAAATTGATCAAATTAATTAATAATTTAAATCTTTTTTGCTCCTAATCCTCTGTTTAATTTACGTCCAGACGTAGCAGTTCTAGAGCTATTGGTTGTAGTCTAATTAACTAAAAGTTAGCATTATTAATTAATACTATATTTATATTTTTACCTTGTTATTGAGCCCTAACTTATTGTTTGTAGTAGCTGGTGGTGATACCCAGCTGTCAAAATCGTCGTCATTATTGAAGCCGTTATTATTGTTAGAACCTTTGTTATCACCCCACCCGTCAAAATCGTCCCAACTGAGATCCTTTGAAGGTTGAGACTTTGTTGGTGTTAACTTCATTGAGGATCCAGACTTTTGATTGCTTGAAGAATTGTCCCATGATGACCAGTCATCCTTCTTATTTTGAGCTGATGACCAATCTATAGTTGTTGAAGATGTATTGTTATTTATAGATGGTTTGGTATTAGTATTAGTCCAATCAACAGAAGTTGTCGAATTATTCTTATTGGACTGGTCAAACACGGTTGGAGTATCCCAGCCATCTCCCCATCCACCCATATCATCATCATCGTCGAGCAAGCTCTTATTAATTTTATTTGCTTTGGGCTGCTGTGCTTTGTGCTGAATGGTGCTGCTATTAGTGCTCCAATCAGACACAGGTTTAGTTGCACTTCCAAGACCAAGATTATTAGATGGTTTGGGAAGTGTTGGAATAGTCGTATGTCCAGCAGGAGGCGTAATTGATGAAGTTGTGGGTTTCAATGGAGACATTGGTTTCATAGGAGATACTGGAGATACAGATGCAGCTGATCCAAGAGATGAAGCTGGTGCAGAATTAGAAGGTACTCCAAGAGCTCTATTTTGAATAGATGCTGTAGCGGACGTAATACCTTTGTTTATACTAGTCATTGCCCAATCCGTCCAAGTATCTTCAGCTTTAGTAGGCTCTGTTGATTGCGAACCAACTCCTTTAGTAGGTTCAACAATAGGTTCAGGCTAGTATTATTATTAGTTAATAAACTCGATATAAATACACTATATATTACCATATCTTTAGAATGTTCGCTGAGTTTTTTTACATAAACATCAATAGTTTTGAATGCTTGCTCTCTTACCATACGAACAGGGTCGATAACGACTGTTACAATTGCAGGCAAAATGATATTTGCACAATCTGTAGGTTCGTAATATTCAGCAGTAGAACTTAAAGCCATCAATGCAGCCATTTTAGAGTGTGGGAAGGGATCTTTAAGCGATTTGATTAAAGTAGGACCTAACTTTTTCTTTTGATTATTAGAATTTAAATATTTAGCAATTTTGCCTAATCCAATAACTGTATTAGCTCTAATACCAGGTATTTGATCGAATTGAAGCTGGCATAAGTGATTTATAAGATCATTATTAATTAATTTTTCACTTAATTTCCCTACTAAAGAGAGAACACCTTTAACGGTTGCCTCCTTTAACTGAGGGACTGTATCTTGGAACCCAGCAGTTAAATTAGGGTAAACTTTTTCAGAAACCATTTTTGGTGTTAAATGAGGCTCAAAAGAATCTAAAAACTTTAGTAAATTCAATCTAATAGCCCTATCTTGAATAGAAATAACTCTTAATAAAACGGGAATAATTAAGGTTTGATACTGTTCACTGGTTAATTTTGTTCCAATTTGAATTATTACGGAAAGAGATTTTGGACCACCTTAATAATTAAACATTAGCTTAAATTAGCTTAATACTTAATAATAATCTTTATACTTACCATTTCCAAATTCAAATGCTTTTACCATTTCAGGTAAGATTTTATGATAGCATAAATCTTTTGGGAATGAGGCAACTTTAGTTGATAACATTCTAATATTAATATATTAGTTTTTTGTTCTATAAATCTATAAAGCTGTCTTACTCGTAGAATTTTTGTTTATCACCTTCTTCTTGAACATTTAATAACTCTAAGTAAAGTAAAGTAGTGATTAAATCATTCTTAAAGTAGGAAGTTTCTAGTAATTCGCTAACTACTCCTCTTGCTTTTGGTTGAGGATTAATTAATCTCTTGTAAACCATGTGTAATTCCTATAATAATATATATTAGCCTATTTTTAACTACTATTGCATTATTATACCTTTGGGATATTTCCAATGCTCTTTAATTGATCAGCATTTGAGTAGTGATCGTTAAATATTTCATAAATTAATATACCCATTTGATAAGAATCCAATGTTGTTGTAGGTAAGCTATAAGTAGAGAGGTTAGTATTTAATAAATTTGCGTAAGTTAATTAGTTTTGAGTTACCTTATTAATCTATCAAACCCTCCTATTTGTACTTCAGGTGGTGAGTACTTATGATGTTCAGGCAGGTATCTACCATAAGACTAAGAGAATAAATCCAAAATTAATATGTCACATAGAATAAGCTAATTTTCAGGCTACTTACCAATATAGGTGGACTTTCTTCCTTTAAATTTGATAGAACTTCTAAACCGCCTAACTTCCATTCTCCAGCTTGTGTACAGTAGATATTGTCTAATCTAACGTACCCATGAATAAGGTTGCAGTCTTGATTTAAAAATTTTAATAAAGACTATAATTTTAGAAAAATGCTTTAATATCGAAAATTAATATGGATTTTTATGACTTACGGCAACTTTATAAAGACCCCAGCTAATTAAGTTAGCATCTAATTTACTACCGCTTGAATAGTCTTCCTCGTCTTCGTCATAGCTTCCGCCACTTCCCTTATTAATTAGCTGTCTAAGAGGAACAACTGGCTCAGTAACAATGTAAATATTATTATCATTCTAAACCAAAAGAATTAATAATTAATTTATATATTCACTTAATTTGCTTACTTCGTGAGCGTCAATAAAATTAATTAAATTAGGATGTCGAATAGTTCTAAACTTTTTAAAGCTATTTTTAGCCAAGTCTATTTTATCCCTGTCACCTTGACAATCAAATACAAATACTGAAACTTGGCTACCATCATCCTAAATTTTAAATGTTAAAACTTTTGAAATTTTATACTGTATATTATTTTAGGAATAGCTAATTACCTTTTTCTTACCCTTTTTTAACTTCCAAATAGAGTTATAAGGCTGTTGAACCGGTTCTTCATCTATTGTAAATGGCATAGAACTCGCCAAATTACTTGCCGTTGATATCACTTTAGTCACAGAATTGACTAAATTAGAAAAGTATGCCATATTTTTAATTTATTATTCTTTTTTATTACAAGTTAATTAAAAGTTAAAGAATTAATCAAATTCAAATGAATAAAGTTTATTTTTATCTTATCAATATATTATTAGTTGTTAATTTCTTGGCTAAAAGAGTAATCAAAAATTTATTTTATAAATAGAACTTGGGAATAAATTATTGGATAGAATTTTTGTAAATTTGTTGGGAGAGGTTTAGTAAGACTTGTTTAACGCAAAATTGACTATGTAGAGATTAACGTGGAAATTTATAAATACCTATACACATCTCTGCTATTTTACCATGCCATCAGTTGTCATTACTATTATTAGCTATTTTTTATTATTTATTTAATATAAGCTGTGCATATTATATCATGCTTATGATATTTGATAACTTTAAAGTAGTATGCGTATAAATAAATTTGTAGACTATTTATATTACTTATTGTAAATTACAACTATTTAATATATTAATTATTGAAAAAAATTTAAAGAATTTATAATATAATTGTAAAGAAATATGAGAGCTTAATCGACTATAAAATGAATATATGTCGCATTAGACAAATGATAAATTGTAGATATATTTTATGGTACATCATAAATTGTCAATGAAAAAATAAGAATTTTAATTACTCATAATTATTGCAAACTAAATTCAAATAAAACTAAGTTAAAAAATATCAAAAGTAAGCTCTGCCTGAGAATCGAACTCAGATCGCAGGATTCAAAGTCCTGAGTGCTAACCATTACACCAGCGGAGCTTATTGAAAAAATATCATTATAATTTATATATTATTAATTACAGTTTTTTTATATTAACTTTTTATTATTTATATTTTCTATTTTATAATCCTAAAATATTTCTTTTCATAATATACCTAAACGATTATAATTTTCTAATCTGTTGTACTACTAAATAATTTCTTTTTTATTAAATAATTATCTAATTTCCTGCACTAGCAACTTTTGCTTCACTATTTGTCAGATTACTTTCATTAGTGCTTTCATTTTCATTGTTGTTGTCTTCATCTTTAAAAATATCGCTACTGTCCTTTTCTTCATTCTGAATATCTTTCAACTGTATATATCGTGCTTTACAGTGTTTAGCACCCTTATATGGTTTAAATTTTTTACCTATAAGAACCCAGCTCTTAGTCCCATATTTTTCGACAAACTTCATTAAATTAGCATCATCCTCCTTACTCCAATTATTTGATGCGAGTCTATTTATATGGTAGTCCCAGAACATTGCGCACTGGACTTCGTTCCTAGTAACCACATGTGCACTAATTTCCTTCCAGTTACGCCCATGAATATTTACTGCTTGAAATAGCAGATCAATTTCGTTACTTGACCAAGTTCCTTGAATTAGAGGAGGTGTACCTCTTATTTTAGTAAAATGTTTAAGTAAAAGCGATGGATTTCTATAGCTAAAGTGTCTCATATAAATTTCATAAATAGATAAATTTTTAGATTTTAAATCTTTTAATAAATTTAGCTCAGATTCATTAAATTCAACGCTATCTGGTAGTTCGCCCTT